ACCATCAAACACACACTGCCTCTGTTGTCACACACCATCAAACACACACTGCCTCTACTGTCACACACCATCAAACACACACTGCCTCTGTTGTCACACACCATCAAACACACACTGCCTCTACTGTCACACACCATGTTTCCTGGAGAAAACAGCTGGTTTTGCATGTTTATATCATGATTTCCTGCACTCTTCTGTGTCGTCTTGTCTCTACACAAATGTCCTGCTTTGTTTATTCAGGACTAGATCAGGTCAAAAACCAGGAAATGAAGCTAAGAGTTGGATTAGTTACAGTGCTGAAGTTCTCAGGGTTCGTGGGAAATTAGTGGTAAAATAAATAGAATAAAAGTAAGAGTTGGATTCATGTCACAATCTAAAATAAATCATTAGAAGAACATTTGAGGTGACAGCAGGTAAACAGGCAGCCTTTTTGATAAGTAGAAAGCAAGTAAAACTTTTTGGACTGTTGGCAGAAAATCACTTATTGCCACACAAGCTTTTTTCACAATAACACTTAGTTTTAGATTAAAACTATAAAACATACTGCACAACAATGGTTTGCCTCAATGATTGCTACAAGGCAAATATCTACATATATATACTAGCTACATATATTAGCTACAAACATTAGCTTGTAAATAAACAGGAATACGTAGTGTTAGCTGGGATACTAACACTAGCTTTTACAAAACCAAAAAAAATGAATCATTAGCTACGATGCTAACACTAGTGTGAACATTAACAGGAATGAGAAGAGTTAGCTTTTAACTATAGATTGTACATTAACATGAATAAGGAATGTTAGCTGTGATACTAACGCTAGCTTGTACAAAACCAAGAATCTGAATCATTAGCTGCGAGGCTAACACTAGCGTGAACATTAACAGGAATAAGAAGAGTTAGCTTCTAACTGTAGCTTGTACGTAAACAGGAATAAGTACTATTAGCTACAATCATTAGCTTGTTCATCAGCAGGAATAAGGAGCATTAGCTACGATGCTAACACTAGTGTGAACATTAACAGGAATAAGAAGAGTTGGCTTCTAACTGTAGCTTGTACACAAACAGGAATAAGAAATGGAAATGTGGTTTCTGCTCTGATGTCTTTCATTTCCGTCCTCTCCGAAAAGCATGCTGGAGCTAAAATTGCTTTTGTTAGTTTCTTCTTTTACAAACTGTATTTTATTTATTTGCCACGATTCTTCAGCCAGCAAAAACAGGAGCTGCAGTCTGAGTGGCACCAACTCCTCCTGCTAGTTAGTCTGATTATAAGAAACACTTTTAAAATGAAAATGAATGACTGAAGTGCACCTGTTTTTAAATGTGTGCATTCTAATGTTTGTTGTAACATGGTCACTAAGTGATATTCTGTTGTTTTTCCTGCAGGTGCGGTATTCCCTGAAGTCTCTGAGGGAGCAGATGGCCGCCAAGAGCAAGGTAGCTAAAAATGCATCATTTGTTAAACTCTGTACTTGTTGTTCCACCTCCCTCAGCTCCATTGTTCACTCTTTGCTCCGAGCTAACGTCGTCCTGTTCTCTCTCCGGCAGAGCACAAACGGCTGGAAGGTCGGTATTCCCTTCAGGAAGAATGTGTCCTGTGCTCCCAAAGGAGGATCCACAGCTGACCTGCAGGTGAGGAGACGCTCACCTGAAGAAACTCTTTTCAGGGTTTCAGGTGGTCAAACCAGTGCAGATATTAAATATCAAACATGTCATATTCACATGCTTTTTGTTTGGGAGAAACTATGACAGCAGTGAAATACTCCCCTCCTCCTGGAGGCCCAACCAGCAGACAAACAAAATGTGATATATGGGTGTAAAGAACAGATTTCAGTGAATATCCCTGCAGAGCTGCAGGGTGTTTCAGGATGTACAGAAGAGGTGTGTTAGTACACAGTGTTCCTCCTCCTGCTGCACATGTTTTCAGGGCCTCCTCCTTCCACCCAGGCTTCAACTTAAATAGTTTTGTTGTCGTTCTTAAGGGCTCGACACACGGGGAGCGACAAACTACAGCGATTAACGGCTGTCATCGCAGCCAGGGTAAAACCCGACACACGGGACGTGATAACGATCTCAGCGTTGTGAATCGCACTCTCAGGTCGCTTGTCTTCACAAAATTTGATTGGTTCTTGACTCTGAAGGCGGGTGTGCATTACGGACGTGTAAACTAAACAAATCTTGTGATGCTAATGATATTGAAAAACAAACACACATCAAGATACAGTTTTATGAGGAAAAACTGCAGTGTGTAGCATACTCTCCTCTCATTGGTCAGTCAATGAAACCCTCGCTGATTGGTTGTACGCTAAGCGACAGTGACAAAAGTTGAACATTTTTCAACTTTCATATGTCGCGTCGCAAGCTCACGCGTGCACGTCTACGTGTACGAGCGCGAAATTTCACATGCACTATTTTCGCCGGTCACTTAGCTGGAGGAGGGCAAGAGATTGTCGCCTCACCGCACAGGCTCCATAGGAAATGAATGGAGAGCGAGCGACGTCGCCTCCCGTGTGTCGAGCCCTTTATTATTGCAAGCCGTTGGGGCCATAAATCGGGCGTATATTTACGTGCAAATCCTAACGCGCGGTGCGTATATTTACGTGCAWATCCTAACGCGCGGTGCGTATATTTACGTGCARATCMTAACGCGCGGTGCGTATATTTACGTGCARATCCTAACGCGCGGTGCGTATATTTACGTGCAGATCCTAACGCGCGGTGCGTATATTTACGTGCAAATCATAACGCGCGGTGCCGTAAATAACGCGCGAACGCGCGGTGGGTTAGGGTTAGGGGAGAAAACGCCACCGCACATTATTTAACGCCACCACGCGTTCGGATTTGCACGTAAATATACGCCCGATTTATGACCCCAACGGCTTGCCATATTTTATAGCTGCAGGCTTTATACGTCCTCACAGCCGTATGCACGCCCTCAGTATTTTATACCAAAACAACAAAGTTCACAGAGTTTTCTGCACAAACTGTAACATCTGTGACTCAGCCCGTCTCACTCTCATCCAGCAGAAATAGGCGGGAACCACTGCTTATATAACTACCTCCCTGACGCGCGCGCACACACACACACACACACACACACACAAACACACACACACACACGTGCGCGCCTGTTTTTCTTTACAGCAGCCAAGCCCAGTGGAGTGAATGAAAACTGTTGTTTCTTTTTATTGCATCATAATAAAACTTTATGGCTTCTCGACTCTTTATGTGCAGGACGCTGACGACGAGGCGGAGCGAGACAAGCTGAGAGAAGTCAGTAAGCGCTTGTACGCTCAGCTGCAGGAGGCCGAGAAGAAGCACCAGGAGGAACGAGAGAGGCTGCAGGTAATGTGTGTGCACCACAGATGTACAGTGTAGTGTTTATTCATTTCATTTATAACACAAAAAACATTACACACAACAAAACCAAACTAAATGAAAGGCAGCAGAAGAAGAAAAATCTTATATCTGCTCCTATTTAGAGTCAGTGAAGTTAAGTTTCTTGGTGTCATTATTGATGAGAAGCTGACTTGGAGATCACATAAATAATCTAAAAGTAAAAATAGCTAGATCATTGCAGTATTGTATAAAGATCGAGAGTTATTTAATGACAAATCTCTATATATGTTGTATAATGCAATAATGGTTCCACACCTCAAATATTGTATTGAAATATGGGGAAAAGCATGTAAAACGATAATAAACCCCATTTTTATTTTGCAGAAAAAAGCAATAAGAGTTATTACTAGAAAACACTACAGTCACCCATCAAATATATTGTTTTGTCAGTTGGAAATATTAAAACTTCATGAGTTGTTGATTACAGTTTTCTACAGCTCATGTTTAAGGCTCATAAAAACATGCTACCTTTGAATATACAGTGAATATACATTTTGAACAAATTTGACTTAATCATCAGGTCGATATGATGGCTCACATATATTTACTAAACTAAATAAACTAAAGAAAGAAAGAAAGAAAGAAAGAAAGGTTTAACTTCTTAAACAACAATTCATACATTTACATATTTCTCCAGTACATTAATCTTTATCATTCTCTTAAATTTACACACTGATCTGGCATTTTTAATGTCATCTTCCAGATTATTCTGTAATCTTGTATCGTGGACTGAAGTCCTCCGTTCATTCAAACATGTTCTAACTTTAGGTTTATCAAACATCTACCTCCATGACGTGCACACACTGATTAATTTTATTATTTTTATCCACACTGTGGTGATTTCTTGTCAAAGCAGAGCCTGTTTTTCTAAACGAGTCCAAACGTTGTGTCCTGGTTCAGGCTGAAGGCAGCAGCCTCAGGGAGCGTCTGAGCGACAGGGAGGAGAAGCTGAGGATCACAGAGGAGGCCAGCGAGCAGAAAGACGTGCGCATGGAGGAGCTGCAGAGGCTGCTGGCAGGGATGGAGCAGGAGAGCGCCACCCTGAGGACAACCATTCAGAGCCGTGAGGACGAGCTGCGAGAGCTGCGCAGGTTCAGAGAGGAGGGTCAGAGCGGCCAGCAGAGGTCAGCTGATGCTCTCACGTCGCAACAAACACGTGGTTTTTCCATCAGTGTGTAACCGTCTGGTTTGTTTCAGAGCTGAACAGCTGGAGAAGGAAGTGGCCATCCTCAAAGAGAAGATCCACCACCTGGACGACATGCTGAAGAGCCAGCAGAGGAAAGTCCGACACATGATCGAGCAGGTGAGGAGCACAAACACCAAACACAGGGTTCATGTCATCCATCCATCCACCCATCCATCCATCCATCCATCCATCCACCCATCCATCCATCCATCCATCCATCCATCCACCCATCCATCCATCCATCCATCCATCCATCCATCCATCCATCCATCCATCCATCCATCCATCCATCCATCCATCCATCCATCCATCATCCATC